AAGCTTAGCATTTGCAGATACATCTCATTAACTACTACACCAATTACAGGTTATAAAAAGATTACAGCAGAGAACCAGGACTGTCCGTAAGGAAGGCTTGTGATGGGAAAGGTTACACAATATAATCCTTCTTGCTAAACTCCACAATTTTTATGTAAGTGAGAACTGGTTAAAAGAGTATTAAGGAGAGTTTTTATTTTGCATGAATCTTGTTGGAAAGGGAATATATTCATTAACTATTCAAATATTTCCTGAGCACCTACCACGCCAGTCTCAGGGCTCTGTCCATATATGCACGTGAAGCACCTGTGAGAAAAGCAGGAGTTCCTTTGGTAAAGGAGGGAGAGATACCAGGCTGACCTGAGTTCTCTCCCCTTTTATGTGCCCCCTACCAGCCGGCGGAAGGACATACTTCTTCTCCAGCTGTCCATGCCTCTGAATCACTACCCAGCCAACTGCCTTCCTGCCCCTGGACACCACACAGACCTCCCTGAATGGGGGAAATGGGGCTCTCATCACCACTCACCACTGCTCTGGGGACAGATCTGTTTTGCTTCCAGACTGTCAGCAAGTTTTGGAATAGTGATCTGCAGAAGAGTCGTTTGAATCTCTATGATTAAAAAAAATTTCTTTTTTAAACAAAACACAGGAAATGTGGCCCAGGTGTGTTTGTTCTGCCCACCTACAGCAGAAAATTCACATACGTTGCATAAGACGACAGGCTCATATAAAGAATAAGGGCAGTGAGGCGAATTGTTTAGGTGATGAGAAACCAGACAGGCCTCTGCTATGCAACCACTTCCAGGGGGCCCAGTATGTTTAAGGCACTTCTCACTTAAAAAAGCAAATAACTTCTCACTTAAAGAAGCAAATAACTGTGTCTTCCATATGAGATAACAAGGAAATACTGAAGTCCCAGCTTTCCTGATACTTCACTGCATTTGATCTTGTTGTAAAAGAAATACATCATGTTATTTCATCTAAGAGAAAATATGAATTATAGTAGATGAGACACATTCTTTTATTTCTTTTTTTGTTGTTCTTTTATGACAAGACATATCTTGAAAGATATTCTCACTATCAAACACCTACAAATGCTAGAGAAAAATATATAACAAATAGCCCCAGTTAAATGCACAGTTGAGCTCACAGAAAGTGAGAGAAACCCCCAAGGAAGAATGCAGGGTCGGGGGCTCCTCCAGCAGAGCAGTAAACACACCATGCACACAGCTGAGCTCAGTACTCGCTCATCTCGTCTACCTAGAGGGCTGGCTTTGAGGAGTCCTTCGCAAACCAGAAAAAGAGACCTCGGGTAGGAAGGTGAGCTGAGGACCCTCAAAGGGCTGCACCTTCGTGAAAAAGCAGGTGGGAAAAAGCAGTTACCTGCAAGGACTGCCAGCAGGACGAAGCAAGTGCGTGCTGGATTCAGCATAATCCCAGGTGTGTTCTTTGCTGGGTTTATCATTTAGGTTTACCCTGCCTGTGTGGTCCATGAACCCACCCACCTCCCAACCCCCCCAAACCCGACTCCTCCAGTCAACAAAATCACAAAGCTGCCCTGTGTTGGAAAGGCCTGGGCTGCCTGACAGAGCCAATGCAAATCTTCTTCAAAGGGAGGTTCCAAGATAAACAAGATGAATGTACAAAAAGCTAATAGGGGCGCCCCAGTCCAAATTAGACAACTGTGCACTGTGTTCTTTTTTCCAGGAAAAGAACATCCCTCTCCCAGCTATGTGAATGCTGCCTTAAACACACTGGGGAAAACAATAAAACTCTGACTGATCCCCAGGAACCTAACTGGTAAAGGCGGAATGGGACTACAAAGCGCTCAGGGAAAATGGAAACCAAGTAGGGCGGCTGTGGCTTTGCAATCAGAAGCTGGAGATCAGAAACCCGAGAGCATCCCTGCTTTCCCGGGATGCTGAGAGAATGCTGAGAGCCGCCGCCAGTGGAAACTGGGGTGACTGGGAGTTAGTGGCTGAACTTCACAGATGGGCGGAACCGTGACTGTAACAGCGGCATCTCTAGAGTAAGCCATTTGAATAAACGCAGACAAAATTGGTAGCTAGTTTTAATGGCCATCTCAGTGTATTTTGCCCCGGCAACAGTGTGGGGTTCTCAGGAAGCCGTTTCTAATTTTTGTCATCACAATATTTCTGGTTCAGACAGGGGAGAAGCCAAAGTTAGAGTGTTTCTAGCCGGCAGCAAGCCAGAGGGACCAGACAGGGCAACGAGCCAGCTCCCGGTAGCAGAACAGTGGACCACACTCCAAACCACGGGCCTCGAGGCTCCTGAGACAGGTCCTTGCTCTGCAACGATGTAACACGGGAAGGAGAGGCAAGCAGACAGGACCAGAACAAAGGTTAAGAAAGCCAGAACCAGAGTTGAAGGGAGGCACCAGCAGATTCCAACGATCCTGAGCCAAGGGTACAGGTAGACCACGGGGACACCCACGCTGAAGCTAAGAGGGACATCTCAGGAAGGGGAACGGCCGCTGGGCCCTCACGCAGGGTAGATCACAGACACCTGCTCACTTCAGAAAAGGGGCCTCGTCTCTTATTTGGTGATACAATGAGGATTCTGGTGGAGAAACTAGCAGTTGGGAGGGGTTCTTAGAGCAAGGTATGATCATCTATAAATGACACAAGCCTCAAACGTCTCCTAACTTTAGGTAAACATTTTGGATCTTTGTAAATAAGAACGTGAATAAGATATTTTTAAATCCTTTAATGAAAGAAAGTAGAGCTAAAACAATTGCTTAATAAAAAGCTTCCGTTAAAGACTAAAGTCTGACATATGTCAGGCAATATTGTCTTTGACAGATTGTTCCAATACATCTTTCTTTTCACTTGTCTTTTTAGATTAGTGAAAAGGAATTAGTATGTTTAAACCATACTTGAGCACATTTATAAATGTTTTTATAATTTATTTTCTAACCACTTGATTTCAGTTTAGTTAAAGGAAATGAAAGCATATGCTAAATGAGTCTTCCTAAGTATCAGATGAGCATATCCAGAAATAGCTTCTGACTATGATTACAAAATCTGGTCTGAAAAGTAGTCTGCACTGGCAGGTGGGCAGAAGATAAAAGGTTATGCTTCCATGTACACAGAAAACCCCCAGAGCAGCATGTGTGGTAACCATTCCTCAGTCCTCGAAGAGGTGACTATATTTGTGGACGTGTCGGGTAATGTCTCCCACGTGGGAATGAAAACATTGCCACCAACTGTTGACTGCGGAATACATTTTACTGAAGAACTCACCTGTGCCTCTCAGCCGATTCACCAGGGGTTTCTTTTGCTTCCAGGGTATATTAAAACGTGTTACGATTGGCAACACAACAGAAATAAGATGCACTGTAAATAGTAGACTTATTTCTTAAACTATCACCACCACCCACAGCAAACTTCCAGCATTTCATTATTCTGTTCATATGAAGCTCACTTTGGATTTTAACCATACAAAAATATTAAATGTTCACTGATTGTGCACGTGTGAACTTGTGTTACTGTAGACTTAGTCTAGTTTGGCTGAAAAGAGTAAAAATGCTTATGCAGAGCCTGCAGAGCAAAGCTATCAGAAAGCAACAGGCCTTCAAAGGCAAGGGCACTCCCGAGCCGCACCGGTGAGAGCACAGCGATCTTGGCACCTGCCCTGACCTGGCAGCTCTGAGGCAGTTGGACCCACTGACGCACCAAGGATTACATCGCTCTGACTCCATTAACTGTGCTGAACCACCCTCTTCCAGAGATGCTACAAAAGCTTAGAAACCTGCCATGAGCATCTACACCTTGTTCTGCAGTTCTCCAGGGCTGCCTTCCACCTGCCCACTCTGTTGCTCTTCACTCTGTGGCTTTCTTGTTTTCCCAGCTCCTGTTGGCACCCAGTTTTCACTCCATATGGGAAGATGCTCTAGTTTTCTTCCATTATGCAGGCTTTGAAACGGCCACTCATAGAGGGTGTTACTTTCAGAATCTTCCTGCCTGCTCCTTGCCCCCAACCATGAGAAAGAAGGATCATTCCTGAACCCCAGCCACAACGCCTGGGGAGAGTCCCAAGTGTCCCGAGGTAGGGAACTAGAAACCAAAGAAAGTGCATGCATTCCACAAACACCTGGGTCCTCCCCAAATAATCCACACCTCACCCTTTACTTCCTGTGTCACTGCTACACCTACTCAGCTTCTGACTTTCTGAAGTTCATCTGCCTTTTCTAGTCCCCAACTTATCCTAGGCTTGATGGACTCAATTTCCCTGGGTTTAAACCTGAAAATCATATAATACAAGTAAAGGGAATCTTCTACATCATTAGGCTTCTAAATACTTAAAGAAACAGTCCATCAATCACACCTTACCCTCTTCCCTGCTGTTTTATTTAGCATCGGTCCACCCCCCAGCTCTGTTCCTCCCCTTAATCACCCCCAGTCCCCACACACAATTACGTAAGATACAGGACACAGACATTAGCAACCTTGCTTGCCATCCTCTGCATTTACCAGTCTTCACACCAGTCCCCTGTGTTCCGTTCAGATTTTAAAAGGTATTTTAACAAACTAGAGAATGATGGAAAAATCCAAAAACTGCCCTATGAGGACCAATTGAAAGAACTAGAAAGTTTTAATGAGAAAAGGGGCCTCTTCAGATCTCTCAATTGTGACAAGTCCTTAGTAATCTGACTATTCCATACAGACTGATTTTAATAGTTCTTCACAGTGTGATACTTTTTGGTAGTCAGTTCTGTCTTGTTTTAAAGGGGGATTTTACTTTAAGTTATATATTTCATAAAACTAGAAAAGTGAGTTATCTGGGGAAAAAAGCTTTGACTACTGCATGAAGAGTTCATGGAGTTACTGTTTCCAATCATCTGACCTTTTCAGATGGGCTGTAATGTTAGATAAAACCTCTTTATCACCAGTGCGTCACACTGGATCCCAAAGCTCTAATTTCCATATTCAACAAGCTCCCTCTTTGCATAGAAATGTGTGTAAAAACAGAATGTTTGGTACAGAAGCCACAGTGCCATTGAAGGTAATTATAGAGACAGTAAAGTTCTTTGATGCCAGAAAAAAATAAATGCTGGGTGTCCCACAGAATTTCAGAACCTGACTTCAAAAGGATCATGGAGGAAGGAAATAAAGTTTAGCATGCTGGACTACTCTACAGCATATATTCGTAAGTATGAGATTCTATCAAACAGTCGATGCATACAATACTGTGACTTGATGTCAGTGACCAGTGGTTGGATGTTTATTTCAGCAGGTTTCTTCTAAGGGAAACAAAGAAACAAACTAGTACACACCTATGTTTGTGTGGCCTAGGCTGTCCATACTTCCACAAAACTTACAGTCACCCCTGTATGAATGAAGCTTCTAAACTAGGCAACAAAATATATATTCCAGTTTTATTGTAGAATATGGTCTTTCATTTTATGTGTTTTGTGTGTGCGCGTGTGTATATGTTTAGATAAAGGTATATTATAAAGTCATGTGTTTCAGAATTGTTTGTTTTAAAAATCATGCATTACCAAATGATGAGTTCCATCATGTAATTAGCTGTACTGATTTCAGATGTAGTTGTTAGGTTTCTATGAAACATTGTTAACTTGATTTTATGAAATTTCTTCATTCTTTAATTCTATGCTTAAGCACAACTACTCACAAATGACTTGTTTTTTTAAAAGGCAAGAATTTTGTGTGCTATAGAAAACAAAATCTCACTAAAATAAAACATGGCTCTAGGTTTTTCTAAAACTTACGTGACATGCTGCATCGTAAAATAAACACATATAAATGCAGATATTGTATATGAACAGAAAGAATTTATCAATTGTCTATCAGGATAATAAAAATGTTTAAATATGTTAAAAGGTTCAATTTAAGGAAATTTATTTTTGTATCACTTGAAGGAAGATTTCATTTAAATGTTAGGGGAAGCTTGAATCTATTTCTGGCATAATATATACCCAACTCAATTGATAACTAATGCATTTATACTCACTCTAAGAATTGGATTCCACAGATAAAATGTATTCCTTTTTTAAAACATTGGAGGAAAAATCATATGGAAAACTAAACTTATTCTAAATATTCTATACTTAGATAGTAAAAGTGCACATTAGTTTTACTGAGAGGATGTTGAAAAATAAAAAAGATAGGTAAATTAATACATAATATTGCATTATGTATTACATGTACATAATATATAATACATAAATTACTGGAAGAAAAAGCAATGGAAAATGCAAATAAAAAGTATAGGAATTTGTATAATATCAATTCATGAAACTAACAAAATTCTAAATAAGGAGTTAATAAATCAAAAATGAAGATAACCATAATCTGGCACTTACAAAGTGGAATAACTATTTCCTTAAAATATACGGCAGGATATTTATAGAAATCTTTGCCAAATGTGCATTCTCCAGGAAGCACCCAATAATTTTGTTTGTTTTTGCTTGTTTTTGTTATTATTTTATTTTTAGGTCAATGGAATTTTTCTACATATCATATCACCAACATGAGAAAAAAATGATTATTGTTGATTTGAAGCTTGGTGAGTTTCTCCAACTTAAATACATTCTATATCCTATCACTTTAAATCATTCTTTCACAGGGAATTCTCTTTTTGTCAAAATAGAATTGTAGTTTATGGAATATTTGAAGCTCATGTTTATTTTTACCAGTAAATGATCATGTATCCTCTAATTTGAAGGGTACAATTTAACTGCAAATGTTCTTAATTGGATTTAACTATAAGCAAAATAAATATGAGCTTATCAATAGGATATTTTAATAAAACTCTGTGAAGAACTATACTTTAATTTTTTTTAGAATGTACTTCTTTTGGAATCACCAAAAATATTTCTTAAAAGTTTGTAATTATAAATATGAAAGTGCTTTACTCTGCCACTCTGTACCCTGGTATTATTAAACTATAGATGTGCATATACTGTTTAATGACAAGTATCATTGAATGCAGGACTGCAGATATTTCTTTTTAAACCGCTAATTATTTTGGAAGTTCATAGTCCTCACATGGTGAATTATATTTTCTTCATTTTGTCAGATGAAATTCCAAAGGCTGTTTCTCTTCTCATTTTCAAGGTATGAACATTTTAATTTCTATTACTTTGTCTGCCTTCTACCTTCCACAATTAGTCTGAAATATTTTGTTTTCTGACTCCTTGTTGAGCCTCCCCTTTCCTCCACGTTTAAGCCTTATAAGTTCCTTTACTATACTTTCAGTAGTGTCGCTCTGAAGAAGTAAGAAACTCAGGGGGTCAGTCTGTTCTATTACCAGACGCTGGGTTGCATATCTGTGCACACTTGTGCATAGAAAGCATTATGAGGACATGGGGACAGGCAGAATGTTCTGTGATGTTCCAGCAAAGTGGTGGTGCATAGTGACAGTCAACCCAGCAATAATCAAGAGATAGAATGCAGGCAGGCAACGGACATCCAGTCCCAGAAATCTGAGAAGACAGGCAGCAGGGCTCCAGCCACTGGGACAGCGTCTATCCAGTACGCTCCATTTCTCAATGGCCGAGAAAACCAGGGTACCTCATAAAGCAAGACTGTTTGGTCTATTTTTCCTACGTAGAATACATCTTGTACATAATTCCCCCACTAAGTATTTTCTTTAATTTAATTGTTAATGGTTTTATGTCCTTATATTCTGTTGGCATCCCATAATTTAGTAAATCCGTGACTGTCTGACTCAGAAGACTAGACAACCTCTTAGATGTGACTAGCAAATAGCATGTGAACACAATGCTTCAGGGAAAGCACAGTCTAGCAGGAGCGGTTAAGCCAGAAATACAAATGACATTATTCTGGTATACTTGCATACATTTTTGTATTTTATACATATTTATATTTACATTCCACTCCTTTTCCAACGTCACCCAACTAATGAGCCACTTGGGCCAGAGAACCTCCGTCTGAATTAGTCACACGGCTGCTGCTGGCCTTAGCTGGAATTTACAAAGGTAGCCCTTCCACGACATGGATGAAACCCTACCTGGGGGCCACAGCCTGGCAAGGCGAGTGTGGGTGGAGCTCAGTCCTCTTCTCCAGGTACCTGTGTCGGGGGACAACCTGCGGAACTGTATGTAAGGGGACATCCTCTCGTCCCTTCCCCCCTGCACTCAGGCCTGCCCGAGAGCTCTTCTGGCCAAACGAATCCTCCCTGACAGCCCCATCCCCTCAGTCTGATGCACATGCCCAGTGCGTCTGGATGCCTGCAGCAGGGACCCAGCTAACTATAAAGCTGGAACCTACGCTACTAATGCTGCACGTGAACAACAGAAGGACAGGGACACAAGAACAAACACAAGTGAAGGAAGGAGAACTTACTGGGAGTACATGCACACCGAGGGATGAGTAAGATTAACTGGAACAACGTATTAGGTCTGAGCTGAAATTTAAAAAGAGGAACGAATGCAATCTGACAGAATGTGTGTTTCCTGCACACACAAAAGAGCTTAGGAAATACTTCCTGAGTGACAGAGCTCGAGAGGCTGAAGGATCAGATTCACTGGAACAGAAAGTTTCTGCACATGTGCACTTTTCTAATTTTACAGTTCTATTTCAGAAAAAGGAAATTAGGAAACTGAGAGTGTAATTAACATACCCAAGTTGACACAGCTAGTAAGAGCCTGGATTCAAGCATGTGTCTGTTTTCAGAGCCCAGAATTATTTTGATACACCTGGTACCTCTGAGGAGCCACGGGAGCCCCCAAGCTTGAGCACATCTGGAAATGACTTTACCTTTCCTGTGCTTCGCCCTCCATGGGCGCTGCATGCTGAGACGATTCTGCTTCTGTCGAACAGCTCCACTGAGCTGACAGAAGGAAACAGGGTAACTTGCAAGCAGACAGGAATGTTGGCTGCAGAAACCACCAGTGTGTGCATGCGAATCCCCAGGTCAAGTGAGGAGACGATGAGATATAAAAACTACTCTTAGAGGTAGAGCCTGGGGGACAAGTGAAGGCCTGGGAGAAGACAGGGCTGACCAGATCCACAGACAGAAAAGACACATAAAGGAAAGAAGTTCTCGACTGTCCTCCTTCTGAGAAGATAAGCAGAGAGTGACTGGGTAATCTGTGTCTTAGAGGTGATCACAGAGATGAAGAATCTTCAAACTTGAACAATGTACATTAATGTGGTTCAGGGTCCAACCACACACAGGATCAGTTATGGATAGCTAGTCACTCTAACGGTTTTCTCAGCCTCAGTTATTTCAGTGTTAATCATCTTCAGTCAGGTTAATCTTTCCAGAAAAAGACTTATTTTCATCACACTATTAAAGACCTCAACGAATTATCACCACCAGCAGGATAGAGTCCACCATTCAAGGCCCTCCAGAATCCACCTGCACACACGAACACATTCCTTTGATAAACTCTCCCTTTTGCTTAAACTAGTTTGAATCTATATTTGCCATTGAACCCCAATTTTGTTCCATTCTGTAGGTATATTAAACCACCTTGTCCCTTGGTCCTCCTCACAGTGGAGACCCACAAAGAAAGCCAACTCCATCAGACCACGACGCCCAGAAGTTCTTCTCCCCAAACCACGAATATTCTTAGACCTGCTCCTATGCTTTCCCCAGCCCTTCCACTGACCAGGGAATGGTCACTTCTTTCCATGCTTCCACTGGGACATCTCCAAGGTCCCAGTCCCCACATTCTGAATCCTCGCTCCGCCTTATTTTTCAGAAAACTGAAATTCTACTGATTTTCTCTTTCCCTGTGTCTTCAACCTCTGTCCATGGCTACTGCAGCCAACCTCAGGCTGAATCACTCACATTGCAGACTTTATGACTGATGTCCTCAGAGATGGGCAGGCCAGAAGGGTCACAGGTCACAGGTCACAGTCCTGCCTCTCCATCTCTAGTAAACCTTTCTGTCCATAGCTTTCATAAGAAAGAAAGAAATGGAGGAAAGAAGGAAGGAAGGAAGAAAGGAAGGAAGGAAGGAAGGAAGGAAGGAAGGAAGGAAGGAAGGAAAGGGGGGTGGAGTGAGAGATTGGGGGAGGGAGGGGGAAAAGTGCAGGCGGGCTGTGCAAGTATCCGCACATCTGTCCTGGTCTCCATCTCCTGGTCTCCACCCTCCTCCCTCCATTGAAGCCACGCTCACCAGGGTCATTGATGACCTTCTTACTAACAAGTCTGACAGACATTTTTCAGTCTTTTGCTCTTTTCATGTCTTCCCAGCCTCTAACTCTCAACTGGCCACTCTTTACTTCTTGATAACTCATTCCTTGGTTTCTGTGACAGTAGATTCTTTTAATTTTCCTCACAAGTGCCTCTTCGGTCAGTCTCCTTTAAATGTGTGTCTGTCATTTGTCCGTCCTGAGCCAGCTGCTCTTCTCAGTTTACACTGTCTCCTATACCGTCGCATCTTTTCTCGTGGCCTCTCTGATGTGTTTTAGGAAAACTGCCCACCTTCATCTTGAGGGTGAATCTCTCACCTGAACTTGCTTCCTTTCTTTCATCCACTGTGCACATCCAATGACAGTTCCTCCCTCAGAACATCTAAACTCTTCCCCCTCCCCCATTTCTACGGCCACTTTTCTCACCTCAGCCCCTAACGTCCCTCACCTGGACACCTGCAGTCACCTCCTAACTGGTCCCAGTTCCACCCTGGCCACACCACAATCTGTTCTACCACAAAACAGTTTCAAATGTTAGCATTTCTGTTCCGTATTTTACAACCTGCAATGATTTTTCAACTTCTTACTATGAAACGGATGATGGGTGAGGCCTGTCCTGCTTGGCTTCTGTCTGTCCTTACAACTAACCTCACCTCCCACCACCTTCTTGCTGCAACGAACACTCTGGAGGCTTTTTCTTGAGCTCTCTCCCTGCCATACTCTGGACTCACGTGGTGACCACATTCCTTCCATTTCCTCAACTAGGACTTGACTGTTGCAACCTGATCTTGGCACAAGCTGCTCCCTCCCTCCCTCAGCAGGTGCCACACACCCTGTGGGTTCCAGCTCAGCTCCTGCTTTGCTGGGACGACTTCCCTAACCTCCCCACGTGGGGTCAGGTTCTCCTCCTGTGTGTGCTCACAGGCCCCTGGACTCCCTGCTTCAAAGTCCCCGCCAAGTAAATTTCCCCTGCTTGTTAGTGAGGACAGAAGAGGGAAGAGGACCTACTTAGACCCCTGGCAGACAGAATGTGGCACGTAACAAGGGTTCACCAGATGTTGTGAATGAATCAATAAAGACTGACATAAAAACTCACTGTTCATCCTTAATGACTCATTAGAGATAAGTGTGAATGTATGTTTAGCAAAATACTTCCAGCTCTGGTTATAAAGTGTGGAGTTAATAATTTTTAACAAATGTTTTAGTTTGTTTCTCAAAGTAGGAGTTAAAAACCCTCTGTGACATACTCTGTTAGATAGTATCTAGGCTGAATTAACTCCACCTGAGTTTTAAGGTCAAGCTCACACCATCCAGAGCGGGGAAAGCCAGGGAAGCAACACCCCACCCAGAATTCACCCTTCAAAGGCTTATTTTTTAATTTGGCCATTCACACTACCTTATTAGGCTCATCACAAAGAGGCTAATTCTTGCTCAGCATATTGAGAGGCCTTTCTGAAAATAAGAGTTACCCAAAAAGGGAGGACTTGGGAGTTGGCAAGTTCATTGTCAGGAGACCCGGCACGGGGCACTCTTCCTCAAAGAGCTGTGTTTTTTAAAGCCGTCACTTGGTGACTAGGTGGGCCATATGAGTTCTAACGTCACAGCTCAGAGCACCTGGGTTCCCGTAAAATACTTATGAGTCATTTCATTCTCCTCCCTCCTCCCCACCCCTGCCAGTGACTATATCCCATAACTTCAAGAACCTATCCTTATTTTTTCATGATTTATAACATTTTTGTGACTTATAACTTTGTGTTCTTTAGAAATTGATTCTAACATATAATCGTTTTAAATGACTAAATTATACCAAGTACATGCTGTATTTCTTTAGAAAAATGAGCAGGCGGAACTGTTGGATTTGTAAGATGTGCAGAGATGCATCTAAGAGGCTCCCTTCAAAGTAAGTAGCATTTAAGTTCTATTACCATTATAAATCAGTGTATGTTTATTCAACTGCTATCTTAATATATTTTGCTCAGAAAGTAAAATTTGCATTTACACACGAGTAATTCCACCAGAAGGCCAGTCATGCCTTACACTAAGGTTCCGTTTTCATCATTCATGGTTTCCACTTGAGAATTCAGCATGTTTAATGTTTTTAGAGAGTCTATTATGATGAAATATTCTTAGATTTTTTTATAGTGTTAAAACTTTATATGTTAAAATGAGATTCTTTGATCCAGTATATTTACATGGTTCAAACTCTCCATCTACGAAGTGCCAAACACCTTCATCCCTGGTTGGAAGAGGTGAGACTGGAGGGGTTACCAGATGCTCACCAAGCTCCCAAGTCTCTTCCACAATTCGCCACAACTGAAAATGAAGCGTCTGGATGGGAAAGGGCAACGCCTGAGGAGGGTAACAAAGCACTGACTGGATGTGCTCACCTCAGCAGACTCCCTGGCGGAGGCTAAGCAGAGTGCCTGGCCTGGTCCACGTGGAGACCTCAGTTCTGGCCACACGTCCTGCTGCAGTCAGAGCTCCTGGTGCACATGCTCCTGTCCTGAGGCACCCAAAGGTCCAAAAATGCTTACCAGCTGTTATGTGTGTGGAGGAGGAGTGAGGGGGTGGGTAGAAGGAGGCCACAGTGGTGGGTGGAAGAGACAGCAAGACCCAAAACTGAGCATTTTAACTAACGCGCTGAGGCAGCTGAACTGCACGGGCACGTGTGAGAGGAAAGATGGAACAGGCTAGTCTGGGGACAGCTCCCTTCTCTTCCATGGATGCTAGTATTTTCTGTACCTGCTGTGTGGACCCACCATCAGGGAAGGTGTAGGCCAGGGAAAGAGAGTCACATTCCTGGCAAACCCAGGGATGACAGTCATTTGATAAGTGCTTTACATTCATAACCTAACTTAATTGTCACAATAACTTTGTGAGGTAGATATTATCATCCCCCTTTCATGGACAGTAACACTGAAGCTTGGAGATTTTATGTGAGGCCAGAAGCTATTGAGTACAGCACTGGAATTAGACCCGGGACCACCGGACTCCAAGCACTCCTCACTCCTCTCTCCGCAACGTGCTGACATCACAGGATGCTCCCGTGTCCATCTGATACCTGCTCTCTCTCTCACCAGAGAAGGGAGGGGAAACAAAAAGTTCTAGCAGATGCAAGGACAAAGCTGTTTCGAATTATTCTGACAAAGGGAAACTGGTAGCCATGGGATAGCATGAAACTGGTGAAACACTCAGAAAAAATTACAAGCAAAAATGGGATTAAACCAAAACCAAATTTTACTTCTCAAGTTTATCCCTAACTATAATTACCCCAATCATGATGTATCTCCACAAATCTCATGAATCCTAGACGCAAAGGAATTCCCTTGCCAACGGTCACCAACACTGAAGTTTAAGCTAACCCAGGACGGCGATGGCATCTCCACCCGTATGTAGATTTGATTTTTTTCTACATGACGGCAATAGGTGGACAGAGGTCTGCAGTACACTTTGCCAAGGGCTTTTCTTCCACTGGATTGAAAAAGTTATTTTAGGTTTCTGTTTCCAGAGTTCTAATGAGAGAAAGGAACAATGAGTCAGACACCGTTTCATGGAAATGTCTGTGGAAAGCAATCTTCTCGGCAGTACGCTGTTAAGCTTCAGCACTGATGCAAACCGTCCGTTTGAAACTAGCAAGAGCCATCTGAATTTTTAGAAAACAAGATACTTGACTTTCTTAGGACTCCCAATATTGTTCCATGTCCCAGGTTATTTTTTAACCTCTTTAACTAATCTTCCTTTGTTGTGTTAAGCACCTGCTAATGCTGGTGGCTGTTCCCCGAGCTCCAAGCACTGAGCTCACTATGCCAGGTAACAGCCAATGGGCGGGGCTTGCTTGTTGCCTGTGATTACACATGGTTATTGAAAACAGGAAAATCAAGAACATACCATAAACTGAATAGCAATGAACACACTGAGTATATTAAAGAGGGGGAATAAAGATTCATATGTAAGAACAGTCACTTGCCAATTCACTTCAAAAGGCTCACCAAAATGAACAGAAATGAAGCTTCAAAGCCAGTGTCTTTCACAAATATTATCAAAAATGATAAATAATTTTTTTCATACTGTTTAGGTCAAATGTAATTTGATCTATTATTCATAGTAGTAAAAAACTAAAACCGTCATTGTAAAATAATACAGAGCAAATAACTGAGAAAATATTTATTCATAATAAATATAGAGTTATTAACTTTATTAGATGAATACATGCAAACAAGTTTTGTGGATAAACTCTAAGATTCTAACAGATAAAGGGGCGGACACGTTGCTGGTGGCCACAGCACACAGTGTGTGATCCTTTTAAAATTAAGCATCGATTCTACTTCTGTTCATCTCCCAAGGAACAACCCTAATTGTGGGCACAGCAAGCCTTAATCACAACTGGGCTACATTTGATTTTAATGGTAAAAAAATTAGAAATGATCAAAATGCTCACTGAGAATAATTATGCAAACTATGGAATGCCATTGTAGAATACGCCATCACCACGAGGACAGTGACTATCAGCTGCTATACATTTACAATTATACATTATAACTCTATAGGTGGTCACTAAGACAGCTATGAAGACATATAAAGCTTATTAAAATGTACATACACATCCCCCCACACACATAAAGGACACACACACACAAGCACACAATGATTACTTCTTGATTAAAAGAACACAGGCATTCACCCAACAACAAAACTGAAAAGAAATACAACAAAACAGTAACGATGGTAATTCGGGACCACAGCGATTACAGGACTATGGTTCTTTATCTTTTTGAAATTTATTTTATCAGATTCTCAGGTTTATTCTACTTTTATATTTTTGATAATTCTAATCATTTAGAAAGTAAAAATTAAATGTAAAAGATCAATAGGAGATAAATTTCCATCCAAAACCACGCACAAATAGAGTGTAGCTATATTTTAGCATCATTTTCAAGACAGTGTACTTCTGTTTAGTTCAGCACAAACCTTGAGAACCCTTCAATACAATGAGCACCTTCTGTTTCTTTTCAAAGCCTGACTTCGGAGGAAGTATTACAGTGGGCACAGTCTTTCGAAAAATTGATGGCTACAAAATGTGAGTATTACATACATGTCAGTTCTTAGTAACTAGTCAGTCTTATTCTCGGGGGGACAGGCAGGCACTTGTGCTGAACGTGTGCTGTTCAGACTTCTCAGCGGTAACTGCCACAGGTAAAAAAAGAAAACCTGAAAATGGTTTGCTGTGTCAACCACTATTATTTTCTTTGGTGTTAATTAAAACAAGATTAGTCACTGTGAATATTTCTTCTTCACAAGTCTATGTGTAAAACCCTTGGAAAACGTGCTTAAATAGTAACACACTGAAATACACTGCCTTCCCATCACTTTCTAAAGTTATCATATTTTTAAAAAAAAATGAACAATTTGCTGTTCTTCATGCCTTGAGGAGTATGAATAAATTTGAGTTTTGATGTTCTAGAACTCCTCAAAGTTTAGTTCTAACTTCTATCAGTGTGTGATTTAAGACTTTATATGAGTCTGTGTTGACTGCATGTGAGTACCCACATTCAGACGGAACAGAAAGGTGAGAGCAGTGGACCCGGGAAGGTGAAGTCAGAGGCTTGATGCCAGAAACAGAAGGCGCAGTCCCTTGTGTTTGGGGTCGGAAATTGGGAGGCTGTAGGAAATGTTAACTATCAGATAGGTTGACTGTTCACACTGCTGACTATGGAGGGGACTGGGTGTTTGCCAGCGAGGGTGCTGGCGGTGACTCTGGATCCACTTCCTCCTGTTCTCCCCACCCCCAGGGGGCGGCCTGGATCCTGGGGCACCGCCTGCTCCTCCGACCCCAGGCCAGGCCCTCCAGGGGAGGAGGCAGCCGTCACTGCCTGGCCTGCTGGGCAGTGGCAGTTGGAGTAGCCCCTGGCGACTCGCACTGAACAGCCCTGACAGCCACCCTGGCTGTGACCTCACGCCCACTTAGTGCAGGGACCCACACCTCCAGGCTCGTCCTGCCGGAGCCCCCGCCCCACACAGCAGCCCTTTCCGGTGAACAATTAAGGCCTCGGTTTCTTTCTTTGTCACAACCACCCCTACCTCTCCCTTTTCAGGTGTTCTTCATCCACTTTGCCAGCATGATTGTAAATTTTTTTCTAAAGTATTTGTTTGGTCAACTTTAGGACACTGGACTAGGAGGGAGAGACAAGAGTGTCTGTTTAGTCAGCCGTAATGACTGATCCTCTGCTATAAATTCAGATTTCAGTCCCAACCCCCCCGTAATCCATATTTTACAACATTGCCAGGTTAATCTCCCTCTTGGAGTTTCAGATTCTTCATCTGCAAAATGGGATCGTATCATCTGTCCCTCAAGCACCATGGTGCACATTAGATACAAGCCCCCAGCTCAATGCCCGAGACAGATGAGGCACACAGTCATAAAGTGCTGGTCTTGAATATCCTTCCTTTTTCTCTGCTGCCTATCAAAAAGTCCAGAAGCTCTCACTTGGTTTCCAGGACTCTACACCCTAACCCAGCAGACTTTCTCACACTGACCTGCCCTGTCCCTTTACATCACGTGCCCTCTGTCACCATGACTATTCCTCCATCCTGTACGTGGACGGCTCTCCTGGTCCAGGCTTCACACAAAGTACCCCCTGCCTCCTCTATCAATTCTTCCCACCCTTAAAAGCAAAATTCAAGTTCCACTTTTTCCTCTTGGAAACCTCTTGGAAATATTTTTTTCTCTCTCCTCTGTTTGCTAATATCATTATTTATTTTGCTTCTAATTATAACTATTCTAGGTTTTTTCCACAGCCACTTTCTCACTAAATGCAAATTCCCTAAGAGCACAGATCACCTCTAATTCACCTTTCATCTTTCCTCCCAGAGACTAAAAATGTGTTCTGGACCCACTGGGCATGCAATAAATGTTCAGCGAATAAACACAAGACAAATAGAAAAGATCAAAACACTAAGCCATATTATGTAAGACTGTCTGTGCCAGTCCTGGAGGCCTCGTCAACAAAGTGAATAAAATTACTCAGAAGTAATTTCAAGTGGGAGCTTGGCTAGAATTAGCAATTTAGAGATTAAGCATCATGAGACTAAGTTAAGTCTACAGAAAAGATGAAGACAGGAAGACAGCATATTGCTCTTTATAAAAACCAGCAAAAACGGGGTAAGAATCTTACCAGAAATTGAGTTACTGCAAAATTCACGTACAAATTCAACAATCACATAAAATTAAAAAAGCTATAAAAAAATCATTCTATGGGACATGCAATCAGAAAGATAAAACTAAGAATAGAAACATTAAATGTGCCAGAGAAGAGAGTGTGTTTACATCAACCAAGGACAGGAGTAAAACACACCCCATAGCTAAGCTATGCGGATGCCTCTACACGGACTGGAAGCCTGTGTCTGAAGAACGTGTAGTTCAGAAATGATGTGGGAAAGATTCTCACAAGAGGCAAATTTTGAGCTGGGATTCAAAGGACTCAGAGTGTTATAAAATGATAAAGAGGTCTGATTGTATTTTAAAGATAGAAAATGGTTTTAGAAGAGGTACAGTAAAGATAAATGAGTACTTCTTTCAATGAGGAAATCTAGTGTGTAGGATTCCTCAGGATTTGGTGTGAAAAATGATCTTATTAAAACAATCTCCACAATGAATTAAGCAGAAAGTACCCTGCAAAAGTTCCAAGTCTACAGATGACAGAGTGTCCTCCAAGTTCTCAAATGTCCCAGTTTTTAGCAAAAAATTATTTTCAAATGGGCAAAAAGTAGTAATAAATTTTTTAAATGGGTCAGGAAAAATCTGTCTGAGCTATTTATCTACCCCCCAAAATACCTGAGAACTGCCAAAGATTTTTCCTTGAGTGAGGGCTGACCTAAAATATGATGCTGCACCACAAAATATCATCAAAGTGTTAGGCATCACTAAGGTGAAAAATGGGAAGAAAATCCTGTGGGTATTTCTGATGCGAACCTAGAAGAATCTGTATTTCTTATGTCTAAATCTAGTAGAACTAGAAAAGGTACAGAAATGTGCATTAAAATGACCAGAGAACCAACAATCACCTAAAATCTGACGGCTCTTCCAATTGGCAAGGTCAAGACTGAAAAATAATTAAAAACAAAACTTTTGACTAATCAAAGTTTTATTTTTGATTTTGATTAGAATGTCAGAAAACAATGTCAGAAAAAGTGCAGAAGGCTCATACATATATTTATTAGCTAAATCTCAAAAGATCGGGATAGAGGTTGCCCACTAATATTCAAGTAAAGCATATTTAATGTAAATAAAAATGAGTTCAAAACTGCAACTAACGCCTGTGGATGAGTCATCCAGTCCTCCCACACCTCTGGCCGCCTACAGGGTCACTGTGCTCGGCTCACGTGCTCCCTCTAGAGGGAAGGGACAGACAAACAGGCAAATAATTAGATAAATTAATTTCGGAAAGTTATAGTGCTTTGAAGAAAATAAAACCAGGCCATAGGACAAAGAAAGGCAGGAGTAAAAGGGCAATTCAATGGGATGATTAGAACCAAACTGTCAGAAGGTGTAAAATTTGAGTTAAGAACTGCACAGTGAGAAGCAGGCAGCAGCACTGGGGCCTGGGGACAGAGTGGGCCAAGCAGAGGACACCATGTTCAAAAGGCCCAAGACATGAGTGAGGTTAGTGCCTTCAAGTAACAAAAAGAAATGCAACATGACAGGAGCACAGGGCCTTAGAGGCCACGTGAATGACCTTAAACTGCTGAGTAACAAGTACTCATATGCTTTTAAAATACCCTCTGAGGCTGGGGGAGGGGCAGGGGGAAGGCTGGTGGGGGGGTGTCAAGAGATACAATCTACTAGGTATAAAATAAACGGATACAAGGATGCCAATAAAGTAATTTGAATGTGTATCTGTATTTGTAAAGATGAACGAATACTGGCTAGAAAGAAAGGTAAACAGAAACAGAAGACTGAAACAGTAAAAGAAAATACACCAAACTGTTAACAAATTTCTGTATTAAAAACAATGTATGGTACTGCAAGTTACTTTTACAATAATACAGCAAAGAGAAGTTAGGAGAAAAATCAGAAGTGATGAATATCACAGAAGTCGAACCAGAGACCTTCTTTTTTTTTTTTAACCAGAGAATTTCAATGAAACATTTATTTTAAAGCTTCACACAGAGGCTGGTAGAATTATGGGATTCATTTTCCCCAGTGGTACATATTGAAAATAAAATGGATTTAACATTGTTTTAAACACATTTCTGATGGCAGATTGTAACATAGCTCACTTTTAGGGTTTACTGCATGGCATGAGCCCTGCTGCTCTGCAGAAAACCATCCCAGAAAAGGTACCTGGGCCACTGTTCTGACTCAGCCAAGAGGAGTGTCACGTCTCCTTTCTGCATCAAGACGCCAGCCTGTGTCACCTTGTGTGTCATAGAAATGTTCATTTCAGTAACTAGTTTAAAAAGAACACGCTAGGGAGTCCCAAAAGCACCACGCTCATTCTTCAAGAAAAAGATGTACATTGTGTATGACATAAAGCTACTTCTTCCCTCTTCTCAGTTTAATGAGAATGAGCAATTCCGTGGTTCATCCCTATTACTGTGCTCAAGTAGAATCATGATCTCTAGAGCAGAATGCTCAGAAAAGAGCATCATTTAAAACTTCAGAACAGGCTACACTGGGCTGCGTGGCCTCATTTGGAAAAAGCTTTCCCACCTTGTGTTTCCCTTGGTATATGAGTCAGTAGAAATTCTAAACAGAGCAATTCAGTTCTGACTTTAATAATTGCTCAGATTCCCGGAACACTTTTGTACAAATGGGTTTTGGGCTGCTTACTTGGTTACTGTAAAAATTAGCCCAACGAAGACAAAAATCTGTAAAACGTACCAAAATCACATCGGAAATATCAGACAGCTTCAGGTGGTCCAGGTCAGCTGGCACTAGGTTGTGATACAGTAACACCTAACATCAAAATCCCACTAATTTACAAGAAAGCTGCGTTTCTTGTTCATGCTACACAACGACTGGGGTCAACTGTTCCATGTCTTTCTTCTGGACTTCAGGCTAAAGGAACAGCTCTTCCAGGATGTGTCCCTCTCACAGTGGGGGAAGAGCAATGGCAGAACGACCTGATGGTCCTTAAGCCTCTGCACGCACCTGCACGTGGCACTCCGCATGCATTTCCTTGGCTAGCACAAGTCCAATAAGCAAGGCTGATACACGTGGGGCCTGAAAGTATAATCCTCTGACAAGAAGGGCAGGAATAACTGAGAATAATACTACAATCTACCACATCAAGTGTCTATATAAAAATATATATCGCAACACAGAGATGGCTTCATCAGCAGAGAACTTGGGTAGGCTGAGAACTGTTGAACCCTCTGGTCAGCCCCAAAAGATCCTTCCTTCCCTCAGTCAGGAGGGAAGTTAAAGAATACAGATACAGATGCTCGAATGATCTAAATTAAACAGCTTTAAACCATTTCATATACAGTTAAGTTCAACATAAACATAAACACAAATTCAGAATACTGTGCCATGGAATCTAACGCTTGTTTCCAAAATACCTCCCTAACCCCACCCACTCCTCCACTCAACCCATCCAGGTACCCCGGTGGCTAACTCTCATTCCAGGATCTGTAGATTTTATCTGGTATCTCACCTTCTTCCTGGTCCATAACTCATTCCTTTATTTTAGGAGCCTTATTTTCTGTTCCTAATAAAGCAGTCAGAATTTCTCTAAGTCCAAAGTATATCAAACTGTTTTTCATTTTCTTAAAGAGAACTCTACTTTTTTCAATACACATGGCAAATTATCAGCTTCCAGCTTTACTTGTGAGGCTAGAAATGGGTTTTTGTTTTGCTGCATTTTGTTTTTTGGTTGGCCTCCCCATTCAGCTGTTTCTCTAACAGGAACCCCAGTTACTACATCTGTTCTCTGACCCTAGCTTTCTGTCTGTGCCTGTGATGAGGTGAGGCAAGTTCTTAAAGTTAATTGCTCTGAAAACAAACTCCTTCTTTTAAACTGAAGTTAAAATATGTTCCCCATTGGGTGGAAATATCCAATCAATATCATTTCCTATGTGACATTTTTACACATGCCCTACACGCACCTTGTCTGTCCTCTCAATTCAAACTATGTTTCTTTTGAATCATCTCCCATCCGACGTCATGAAGCTTACACCTGCTCACATGAGAGTAACGAACTATGCTCTAATTCTGTGTCTCCCTAGGAGGCACATTTCCCGCAGATGCCAGCCTTTCTGAACCCTAATGCCTCCTTAGAAGTGGTCTGCCTCCCTTTGAGTTTTTCTCTTTATACAAAATACCTTAACTGTTATCTTTATTTCTGTATCACTGCTGACAGAGCCAGCAGAAGCCAAGGCATCAAGGAGCCTGGTCTTCCAGTGCTGGGAAACTCAGTTCAGTCTCTCATGTGAAGATCTGGGAAAATCTGATTTTACTCACCATGGCCATTCCCTTTGACTTACTATTATTTCTTGTAACAGTTAATGATACTAAGTGTTGTCCATCAAAATCGTATGTTTGGTCACACAGTCCACGTGCCTACATACACATTTCTGTCACTATCGATGGAAAGTTACATCGCTGTTTTATCACTTAGCAATTCAACTTCTCAGATAGGCCAGGAGACTTCCTAGTTGCCAAAAGAAGTTTAATATTTTTCTCAGAGTGTTCATCTTGAATATTGAGAACACCTGGTCTCCGCAATGAGTCTTATTTCTGTGTTAGATTTGTGAGCGCCCACCTAACCCCCTCTTCAAACAGGAGCGCCTACAACATAGTGGCTCAGTCAGAAAAGCTCCTCCCACCCACCTGCCCTTATCCACCGACTGCAGAAAGGCAGCGGCAGACCGGAGCTGGGGAGGAGCATTTCTGGCATCAAGTGTCATCTGATGGCTGCTCCACACATACTCACCGTCCTGGTCTAGATTCTGAGGCAGTTTCCAACACCCCATTGAATTCCATTCTTTGCCTAGTCCTTCACTGCTCGTGTGAACCACAAACCATGACTAGGAAGTTGTATTTTTCATTATCCAGGTTCTCCTGCTCTAACTGGATACTGAGAAACACCCCAGGCTATACGTTCTGATCAATTTATGACTTCTACACGGTTTGGGTATTTTCCAACCCTGACCTGTCTGTTTAGCTTTTAAACCTTGCTCTCACCCTGCAGTTTGTCCTGGGGTTTTAGATTTTCATGTCAGTTTCATGATCAGAGCTCTGCCCGCTGATCATATTTAAGCCCTGTTTCTGGGTCCTGGTGGCCCATCCTAGACGCGCTCACACTAGTGGGTATTCTGCTCTGAGTACCTCAGCAAAAGGGAATAAAGGGACGACCCTACTACCACCGACTGGTGTTGTCAGGACAAGCTTCAGAAGTACAAATCTAAGTGTGGTGTGTGTGGTGGGGTGTGTGTGTATCTGTGTGTCTGTGTGTATCATTATATAATGTTCACTTGTTAAATAATTTGGGAGCTTTGATTCAGGCTTCAGTTTTAACCTGCATTAAACATTGTTCAGATTTTTTATGATTTTGACCCATGAGAATAAACTGATTTCTCCTCTACTTTTAGATGGGCCAGTAGTCTATGCAGCATACTTAAAAATGGAGCACAGTGATGAGAATATTAAATTCTGGATGGCATGTGAAACCTATAAGAAAACTGTGTCACGATGGAGCAGAACTTCCAGGGCCAAGAAGCTTTATAAAATTTACATCCAGCCACAGTCCCCTAGAGAGGTAACTACCTGGCAATACTGGTACCCGGAAATCAGTGCATTCCAGGGAGGCGTCAGTATCTGCCAGGCACGGATAAGTGCCAGCACTTCACGCCCAGTGTCTCCTACAGTGTTAGGAGATGCCAGTAGTGTTAACCCTACTTTACAGATAAGAAACCCAAATCTGAGAAGTTAATTAATGTATTCAGTGTCACAAAGCAGTTAAGTGGGAAAGTTAGGTCTTAGACTCCAAAGTCTCTCCTCATTAAATTATCATAATTCTCAGGAAATTAAAAAAAAAAAGTAGACCTAGTAGGAAGAACTGACTTTGCTACAAGGAACTACAGACACACCATAAACAGACATGTTGACTCCCCCGTGGAGTCGGGCACACACAGTCCATGCCATCACACCAGAGCTCACTGTTCACCTCTGCCAGAATCCAGCAAACCCAGCAAACATCCACACTGACCTTACTGCCAATCACTTACAACTGCAGAAAGAAAACAGAGTCATGAGTGAAACAGATACACTGAGATTCCTCCTGGTGGAGAGAGAACGAGGAATGAAGATCCTTGCCAAGAGGAGAGAAGGGCAGAGGATGCTTCCAGAGGACAGTCCTACGTTACTGACTTGTTCCTCAGAACTTCTGTCTGGAAATACCTGGTTTATTGGAATAACCACTTACCAAAAGCATAGAGTATTGGTTTATTGAAATAACCACTTCTCGCCTCTATTTCTCTACTTCACTTTTTTCTCATTTCTGGGCATATTCAGTTAAATCAACATTCAGGACTGTTAAGGAAGATAAACTTCAAAATAGCACCAACTTCCCTTTTTTTTTTAAAAAGAGGCCGCCATCCTATAAACTTCCTTGTTTGTAGACTTCACTAACAAACCATTTGCATCCACCTAAGTAAGCAATGGTTTCTGAGATTTCCCTGGTTTGGGGCCTCATGTTTTACGGGGGTTTTTTAAATCTAAGATGTGAAGTTGGATGTTTACTTTATAAAAAGCAAGACGTTTATCTCTTGTAAGTCTTTTTAGATACCAACGAAGCTGCAAACAAAATTACCGTATTCCACTGAAAGGGGGGGTGGGGTGTAAGTTAGACCCTTCCATCCCATTTTCACGTTCAGTCACGCCTTCTTACGCTCGACATGTACTTTCCCTTTTCAGATTAACATCGACAGTTCGACAAGAGAAACCATCATCAGGAATATTCAAGAACCCACTCAGACATGTTTTGAAGAGGCTCAGAAAATAGTGTACATGCACATGGAGAGGGACTCCTATCCCAGGTTTCTGAAGTCAGAAATGTACCAGGCGCTTCTGAAGACCAGTCGTCCCAACAGCAACTCCTGACCACCACTCAGACGTTTCAACTGAAGGTGGTATATTCAAAGTACTGGGCTTGTTCTTTTAATATAAAAAACCCATAAAATCAGAAATAGAGTAGGAATGAAATAGAAGAAATTAAACTGTCAACAAGGAGAAACAGATCCCAAAAAGGATGGACTCCAGGACTCTTATAACATGAACAACATAGTGTATGACACACATATGTAGCTCAGTTAATACATAAGAAAAAGGAAGGTCTTTCTTCATGACATCAAAATTATAAAGTTATTACTGTAGAAGTCAACTAATGGATGTCTCCTTATTAATGAAATTTTGCTGTCATACTACCCAGATCAGTTCTTTAAAAACTGTAGCTAAATGAGCTGTGTCTCTAGCATGAACGTATTCTTTACAGTGCTCATAATAACTTTAATTACTAGATAAACTTGGTACTCAAAGTACAATCAGCTGTACTGTATGATAAGCAATATAAAAAGATGTGTTCTTGGAAGATATTTTATCTGTAAAATTCTCCTTCTATTATGTCCATAACTGAACTTCTATACTGCATGTGTCTCGTACATGTGAAAAATTCCAAGAGTCTAAGCTATTTAAACATATGAAATTCTTCATTTACTTCTATAGTTATATAGGGTATAGATTTTGGTTCCTATGTTTTGCGAATTTTTTGCTATCACAATTTGAATCCCTCATGGTCCTGATAATCAGTAAATCCAAATATAAACTAAAAAGTTTATAAATATATGACTTTTTTCCAAAGACATGATAAAGTTGTTTTTCCAGTAAGACTATTTTTATTTGTCCTGTCATAGAAGATTCTTAGAATATCTCAGAAGATTCCAGAAGAAAGAATCTCTATTTCACTTGCTGCACTCAGCATACGGCGTAGGGTGACTGCGCCAGAGGAGTGGGCGAACACTCCGTGCTTTTGATAAAGAGTAAGATACCTAAAATACTTAATCACAGTTTTTTTTCCAAAGAATTAAGTGTAGGAAAAATTTTAGTTTTACTATGAGAAAAGTGTTTCTCAGATCTCAAATTTGACTGAAACAGCATTACTATTTCCAAATTACACTAAACCTAAGATGCATCACATAAAAATGAACATTAAATGGAATTATTCTCATTAAGCAAAGAATTATTATAACACAGAACCAATATTTGGAGTTTCATTTCTGAGAAGGAGAATCAGCTTTGCAAAAGAACATTTTTTTGTTGTTAAAAAGTACACAGTTGGTTAACAGGGCTCCAGTCACTTGTAGGAGGTGTTACCGCAGTGGTCCAATTCTACCTAACCCACTGAATTATTTATTTTCTTTTAAAAATACCCATGTAAGAATACAGGTTAAAGTCTTAGATCTCTGAACATGACAATGATCCCCAGCCACAATAAGCCAGGAAAAAAAAAGTTTCCACATGTTTCAAACAGTCTCCACATCTCACTCCACCAGCAGTCTATTTATGGGCAAGTCGGAAAGCTCATACACAGGTGGCCGTGATGCACGTGGTTTCAAACACCTGGGGCCCTTCTCGTTCACCTTGTACTAAGTCAGCCAAGCACCGGCAGCACAACAGATTCTCAGCATCCTCTGCTGCTTATTCCTCCCCCTGTGCTGCAATACGGGACAGGCCAGAGTTTTCAGTTCTGCTTGTGCTTTTGCCGCCTGGTGATAAGGAACAAAGAGCTCTGGACGGAGGCGCAAAGCAACTGGACCAGTGCCTGTTCACTCACCTGATGTCTTTGTACCTTCAGCACCAAGAGGCCGCAGTTTCCTCATCTATCAAACAAAAAATGGGACTAACTGATGGAGTGGGCCCCGTGCAGTATGTTCTATTACATCCTGTTACTAATGAATTCATCATTTCCCTCAGGCTCATTCCTACAATACTCAGTTTGAAGAGTAACTCCTCCCAAAGTTGACATTTTCATGGGACAGTGGATAATGAACTACTCATTTCGTGTTTAACATTGGTTAAGGGAGTTCTGAAATTTTCTACTAGGAACTGAGAATTTAAACTTAAAGTGCTATCTCTTCAAGAATTCTACATGGAAGTATGTATTTCACGTGACTAATAGTTAAAATAGCTTTCAGATCATTTTAACTTAATATGTGAAATCCTGTTCATTTTTCTTGGGATTTTTAAAAATAATAAATATTTCAGTTTATTAAAATAATTCAAAAATTGATGTTATTTATCAAATGGCTACAAAGACATGTTCACATTAACACATTTTCACATGATACTTGTTTTATCCTTAGTATTTTCAGATTAATAAATTAAAACATATTGTTAGATTTCTGGTATCAAACCTGGATATATTTATGATTTTTTTCCCTGTTTTTAGACATACATTTTCAAATTCTGGAAATGTACAAGATAAGCCTTCATTGTCTCCTCATAAAAAAAAAATAAAGCCTTAACTTCTCCAAAAGAAGACAGTGACAGGGATTTGTACAACTCAGATTCAAGCATCTTGGCATAGACGAACACTTTACTCTTTATAATGTATCAGTCACACCATAGTTTCATCAACTGCAAAGGGCTTTTTACCAGTTTTGGAAGAATGATTATAGAAAAGAGATGTGTGAAGCTGTCTTCAAAGACATAATAGGGTGTGATGTGAAGAAAATCATAAGATCTCACTGCCTCCAAATATCTTTCTCATATCTGGGACCTGAAATTCCCATCATGGTCATAAAAGATGAAGTGTGGCATCTGAATCCAAGCTTTAAGTGAAGAGTGAATACTCGTGCTGACACCTTACCCGCTGCCTAGCAGAAGGAGAAACTCGGGGAGAGAGACTGCAGGCACGGAGCAGGCACAGGAAAACAGACTGAGAGAACACAGCTGCTGGTGATGAACGGCCAGCAGATGCCAAACAGGACAAGTAGAAGGGGACTTCTTATTAAAATCTCCCCATGTTGTTAACAGAAAATCAAAGGGGGAAGGGGGGCCTTAGTTTAAAAAGCAGTTATTAAGAGGAACAAGCTATTTTATATAAAATAAATTAGCTGTAAGGATATATTGTCCAGCACAGGGAATACAGCCAATGTTTTATAGTAACTTCAAATGGAATATCATCTAAAAAATCTTGAATCACTATGCTGTGCACTTGAAATGAATATAATATTGTAAGTCATCTATACCTCAATAAAAAAATAATAATAAAATAAAGTACATGGGAAAAAAATGTGCCTGTTCAGGCTATTCTGAACTACTCTTTCCCACTGAAAAAACTGATGTTGGATGATTAAAAAACGCAGCTATCCCTAATTGCTAATTATACATTTTAATAGAAAAAATGAATACCATTCCTATAAAAATAAAAGAGCAAGTATTAAACTCCCAAACAAACAGTATTTGTAAATGTATTCCTTTAATAATAATCTACCCAACTCCTATCGAATACAGATACTGGACATATGAACATTAATTAGATGAGGCTTCTGCTCTCAAGGATGTGTGAGCTGGTAATCAAAACACAGAACAGTAACAGCCAAGGCTGGCATGTGTACAGAGAGCTGCAGCTTCCCAGCAGAAGCATGTTTTCCCCTCCCAGAACCTAGAGGGTGCAGGAGAGGTGATGTGTCAGATGGTTCTTGAAGAGTAAGCAGAAATCATACAGAGGAAAGGGGAGGCAGAGCGGACTGAAACGAGGGCCGAAGAAGGGAAATCCTGCGGCAATTAGGAAGATTTAAAAGAAAGTGGAGGCTCTGAATCGGATCTAAGTTCAAATCCTGGCTCCAAAACAGTTAGCACTCAGCTCTCTGAACCTTGTTTTCTCTTCACCGTAAAATGATAATAACAGTAACATTAATAACATCTACCTTGCAGGTTTTTGTATATTTAAAGGCAGAGCAAGTCTTGATTCTCTCTGTTCAATAAAATTGAATCATATTATTAGTGGCCATAAAAGTTCAAATGGGAGGTGGTGATAGTCCAAGCTAGGCGAATGAGGAAAAGAGAGACATTTCTGTGGGAAGAATGGTTAGCTGATCAGATAAGGGACGTGAGGAGAGATCAAGGCTGATCCAAAGCTTCTAATAGGAGTATCAGGGTAAGTTCTGATGCCCTGAGTGGAGAAAGGCAGCTTGGGAAGATGAGTACGTTTGGGGGACCTGCTCGGTGTGAGGGTCCACGTGCCATACCTGGGACTCCAGAGAGAAGTGGAAATGTAGACCCAGGAACCACTGGCAGAGCTGAGTCAGTGACCAGACAAGGTCTCAGAGGGAAACTGCAGAACAGGGAGCAGAAACCCAAGCACCTAATCAAACCTCAGAGAAAAATAACAAACTAATGACTCCTACATTCTCACCGTAGGCTCATCGTGGTATTTATAGCACTGATAATGACCGTTTATTGAGTCTTACCATATAGCGGATATGGTGCTATGTGTGTTGATACATTATTCATTCATTCAACACACAGTTACAGGGGCACCTGCCCGATGCCAACCTGGTTCCCAGAGACACGGATTCACCCACAAACCAAGCAGAAGACATGGCTACCCTCACTTAGCCTGCATTGCCATGATGTAATAAAGCAGTGACCAAATAGATGAAGTCACACCAGACTATGACAAGTGCTATAAAGAAGGAAAAACAGACCGTATGATAAGAGAAGCAGAGGCAGGACACGGACACACTGGAGAAAGTAGTCAGGGGACCCTCTCCACATACTTTCTGGGCGCCTCTGTCCTGACAACCCTAATCGGGGATGAGGAATCCAAGGCTTTGAGAAGTTACTACTTTTTCAGGGGCTCTGGACTAGAACAAAATTTCTTCTAACCCTAACACCTTGACCACCATAAGCCTCCCACAAACAAGCTAAATGTAAAGTAAACTCACAACGATCCAATATACAAAGTGTGAATTCAAATGAAAAATGCTGCTACCTCTACAGGCTGTTTCAATATGGAAGGGCACTACTGCAGCTCTCTCTAGGCACTGCTGCTGATAGACTCAGGCCGACTGCTTTAAGACATCGTTCATGCTCTCAGTTCAGGTCTCTACTAGAAAGAAGAATCATCAGGCAACTGATTGATGTAATGGCACCGCAAGTTCCAATAATAAGCTGAAACCTCCTCTCTTTCGTTCGCAAATGTGTTGCTGAAACCAGCAAGTGCAACACACATATGGTCACTCAGCATATATTTATGAAAGCTGTGGGGGGGCAGAGCCAGGCGACTGGCCTGTCAAGAGGCTGGAGGTCACGGTACTCACCACGCAGCATTCCATGGCTGTCATCACTGTCCTGGATGAGAATGAGCAGGAGATCCAGGCTCAGGACCACAGTCTCGGTCAGTCGGTACCAACTGCCACATCCTCCGTCTGAGAGCCTGGAGGGACAGATGTGGGTTAATGGTGAAAAATATCATGAGAAACACCAAAGACTAAAGAAAGGAATTGCTGAAAGAATCTGCCATCTATAGCCAATGAATTTAGAGAAAATGAAGTATGAAATCATGAAGGCATTTTATTTACTTTAACTAGCAGCATCTTTTTCGTATGGGTTTTTTTTTTAAACTCTATCAGCCAGACACAGAGCAGCATTTGCTACTTTCTGAAGACACGACCCTACATCCAGCACCTACCACTGTCACCCTGTCCTACCGTTTTGCTCAAAATTAGGAACCAGTCACTTAGAGCTTAGGTCATTTCTCTAAGTATAAAGAAGCATGTTTACAAAAAGGATTTGACCAGTGGCATTTCCAAATTTTAGCAGTTTATGGGCAAAAGGCCTTAGAAAGAAGAACTCATCTTCAAAAATCAATAAATCCCTGGGAGTTGCAGCTTTCTATAAGTTTGCTTTGGCTGAACCAAGAAAGAAGGTATATGCAGATTTCTATGGAAATTATGATTCCATGAAAGATTTCAAGGTGAAGAGGAAGGCTGGTATCTAGATTCTAGAGTGCACAGTGATCCTGGATGTAAAGAACTTCTTTGGGCTCGGTTCCATGGAAATTTGTCACTTACCTGTGTTCCTGAACTATGAAACCATAAACTATGAATATCTGGTCTAAGGGACAGTTTCTCTTGATAAATTAACAATTAACAAATTAAAAAATCATATTTCACTCGAGCCTCAAGACAATCCTACCAGGATGCATTTTTATCCTTGATACATAGAGGAGGAGAGTACTGAGACCCAGAGAGCACATGGCCGGCGGCCGAGCGGTGAGGCTCCAGCATGACAACGAAAGCTCGGCAGTAGGGTGGCAGCAGGAACTGCCCTGCATGGGTGTCCTGTGAAACAAGTGTGTTGACGGATTCAGATGTCCAGACCACTGTACCCGGCAGATCACCCTGAGCCTAAAAAGGTAGGTATTAAGACAGCATGGGAGTTGAGGCAGCACTGGCATGTGAGAATGAAAATGGAGGAACGCAGTAAGTCAGATACAGGAGGAAAATCAGATGAAACACGCAAGGGGAAACAGCACAAGTGGTGTTGTCAACAGACAGATGGGAGCAGCAGCCCTGACGTCCAGCGCTAGCAGGGAGCGGGGAGAAACGAGAGTAAATAAGCAGCCCTGCGATGATAAACACCCACCATCAGCAAGCTTCCATTCTTAATAAGGAAAGGAAGCTCTTCAATACCAGAAAGGAATCTGCCAGATCTGTAAACACACTTAGTTTGAAACGTATCCTCTGAAAGGAATGGTAGACACAACGAGATGGGAAGCCCTACGGGATAATTTGACTTCTTGTCGGGATTACAGCTCATCTTGCTGCTTCTAATTAATACTGCATTTAGCTGTATTAGTGGACGCATAGATGTGTTTTTCTGGCAGTGCTGGTAACTGAGTGCTTTCCCCGAGGCCTCTGCTAGTGAGGAGAAGAAGCCTTTCGGGGCTTCATACACAAGTTTCATCCCAAGTGACTGAACCTAAAATTGGACTGTATGTACTAGCTCAGTTTTTATGTCTCAGCCTGGCAGTTTGTTTCTAGAGTTGCCACAGATGAATGTTATTATTAGTTTAAAGTTTTGGCAGAAAGTGTCATCGATGCATCTTCTTTGAGAAGAGGATGGAAAAAAAGATATGGAGGTTCTGCTTCCAGGAAAACACTTGGAAGTGACTAGGTGCCAGGCACTGTGATGGTCATTTTGCATTTCTTATCTCATTTCAGTCTCACAATAAACATGCAAAGAAGTTATTATTAACTACATTTCAACCATGAGAAAACTGAGGTTCAGAGAGATTAAAAACTTGTCCAAGCTCACTCAAGGACTAAGAAACCAAGCCAGGACTAAAACTAAACTTTCTGACTCTGAAATCCATGCTCTTCCCATAAATCAAGTGAGATTTTGCTTATTAAAGACCAAAACTGAAATCTCTCTCAGTCACATGCTTATGAATTAGCCCCTGAAACTGCAAAGACTCCTGTGTAACTGAGTACTGACTGATTTTCTTGATCAATCTCAGAAGAGCTACTGTCATCATTCAAATTATATCGTGAGGATTATTCTAAAGATATACCAGTTATAAAGTTTTTTCCTACACAACATGCAAGTTACTGATATGTGCGCTCTGATGTGCATTTTAAGAAAAAAAGAAACATAATGACATAATTTTAAAAGATATTACTGTCTTCAGTAATTTCCTGTCTTTCCAAAGGCAGGGAAATTGTTCAGACAAATGAACTGAATAATGTTTCAGAAACAGGATGATGTTCAGAAAGCATCCAGGCCCCTCCTGCTTGCTAGACTTGTCTGGTCTCTCACCCAACAAAGCATCATCCATCATCTACTTCCCCCAGCCTAGATCTTGTACCTGAACCCCAGACCTGAGCTGTGCAATGCCACCACCTTTCAGAACAGTTCCTGTGCTAAATATGCAATACATCACCATCATGCATCCTTGGTAACGCTGCAAAGTGGGCGATCTGAATCCCATTAATCAGGTGATGAGACTGTTAACTTACCTGCAGCCATGAACCTAATGGCTGGTGGAGCCAGGCAGCGATTCGAGCCCAGGTCTTTCTGATTCGAAGGCTCATTCTTGTCCCTCCTGCCCTGACTGCCTCTGGGAATGTTCTGCTACGGATGGGAACCACCTCTGAGAGAAGGGTGTTTCCACTATTCATTCTACCCGTGGCTCCAAAGCTCTCCTGATTTTTTGTGTCTAGAACTGAATGCACTTTTTCTCCTTGTAATTCATGCCTGCTTTCTTTCTCTCCTGTATTCTTGATCAGAATGAACGGCATCACTTAACAAGTGTGATATATGCACATGTTGATGTGTCAGTCTCTTCTATTAAACTCTCAGTCACCTTTGTGTGCCTACAACCTGTCAGAGAGCCCGGCACACAGTTTGACACACTTAATATGTAAATATTTTCTTAACAAATGGTGCTCCCCAGTCACCTTAGCCAGAACCACAGGGGTCATCTGAGACTTTCCTCTCCTTCTGCCCCCAAGACTCGTTAGTAACCAAGTCTTGTCTGTTCTACTTTAAATGTCTCCTGAGGCTGTCTTCAGTTTTCCATCTGAGTGACTACTGCCTTAGTTACTCTCCCCACCACTCCTGCCTGGATGGCTATAGTTTTCTTCTCAATGATGTAAACACCCTTCTCACTGAGGTGGTTCCTATCCACAACGCTGTCTACCAAATGTGACCTGGTTCTGCAGTGACCCCTCACTGCCTCCACCAGATATGTGTCTTCAAAGCTCCGACTGTTGCTTACCAATCTAATCTCATCACTTGCTGGTTCTCTGTCTCT